TTCCTTCCTTCCTTCCTTCCTTCCTTCCTTCCTTCCTTCCTTCCTTCCTTCCTTCCTTATGAGACAGAGTCTCACTATGTGGCCTTGGCTTGACTGGCCTGGGACTCACTATGTAGCTGTAGACCAGGCTGGCCTTGAACTTAGAACTCTTCCCCCTGAGTGCTGAGATCAAAGGTATGTGGCACCATACCCAGCCAGCTCTTTCTTTTTAAAGAGCAATTTATCTATCTATCAATCTATCTATCTATCTATCTATCTATCTAGTCTCTGGGGACCTGCATGTGTGTGCCAGTGCCTGAACAGCCCGAACAGAAGAGCGTGTTAGATCCCCTGGGGCTGGAGTTATGGGCCACTGTGAAACACTACGCGAGCTGGGAACTGAACCCAGGTCCTCTGCAAGAACGAGTGCTCTCAACCGCCTCCCCAGCTCCTGGCGGGCACCCGTGTGGGCCCTGTAAGGCCAGCAGTGTAGACCGGGATCCTGGGAGTGCACCAGCCTTGCCCTCTTCCCAGGCTCGACTGTGTCACTTGCTGAATATCTTTCTCTTTTCTTTTCTTGAGATATTACGCTTTGTTGCCCTGGCTGGCCTTGAACTCCTAATCTTCCTGCCTCACGCTCCAGACTAGGATTTACAGATTTACCCTGACTGGCTCCTTACTGAGAGTTCTGAGACGGAGGGGAGACCCTGATGTGGTCTGACTGGCCACTCCCCTGCCCCCACTTTTGTGAAGCTGGGTACACTGTGAGGCTCTCAGAGGTGGGCAGAGGGAGGGTGTTTCCAGAGGCCGGTAAGGGGGAGATGGAGGCATTGGAGTCTCGAAGGAGGGTGGTGCTTGAGAGCTTCGTCCTCTGTGGAACTGTCGGGGAGGTTTAGGAGTGTGGCCTGCTCAGAGGAGGTTGCCGCTGGCGTGGGCTTTGAGATTTCGAAAGCTCACTTTATTCCCAGTCAGCTCTCTCTCTCTGTCTCCTGTTTGCGGATCAGACGTGAGCCCCGGGCTACTGCTTCAGCGCCATGCATGTCTGCTGCCGTGTGCGTCAAGGACTCTCACGCTCTGCCACGAGCTCCCAGAGGAAACACCTGTTTTTATCAGTCTTTGTATCAGCGCTAGAACAGGGACTAAGACAAGGGCTGCTGTTCTACGGGGAAAGCGACAAGTCGCTGTGTAACAGTGTTGATGTGAATTAACGGGAGCAAGGACCTCAGAAAATCTGCAGGCCGCTGTGGTGGCTCCCACCTGTCAGCCCAGTGTTGGGAAAGCTGAGGCAGGGGATTTCAATGAGTTTCTGGGATGGCTTGGGTTACAGTGTGAGACCATGTCTTAATCAAAAACAAGTAAGTGTGCTGGGCTTGGCGTCACAGGCCTTTAAGCCCAGCTTTGGAGACCCTTGTGCTGCTCCCTGCGTCTCTCCCTGGGCACCTCAGGTGAGAGGCTAAAGGTAGGACCGGGAGTTCACAGCAGCCTGGACTATGTAGTTCAGAGCCAGACTGAGAAGCGCGAATCCCTGTCATTTAAAACAATAACGATGGTGATGCATCGTCTAGCATTGTCCTAATAGAAAGTCACCATTGTTGACGCCTCACGAATTCCATTCCGTGGCAGAGGAAGAACCTGACGCAGGACAGAAAGGAAAAGTGGGAATACATGGGAAGAGAAAGCCCCCCAAACAGTAACAAACCAAGAAAGTCTCACTAACAAGACAACACGCTTTTAACCCTGGTGCAGGGAGGCGCAGACAGATCTCTGTGAATTCGAGGCCAGCCTAGTCTACATAGAGTTCCAGGACAGCCAGGGCTGCATAGAGACCCTGTCTCAAAGAATCCTGTTGAGGGGCTGGAAGGAAGCTCAGTGGGTAGAGGCGCTCCATCCTCGAAGACCAAGGAAAGTGGAAGGAGAGGGTCCTTTGACCTGCAAGGTCTCGGTAGCACATGTGTCTCCCCCATAAAAGAAGAAATGTTTTCAATTCTGTCTGTTTGTTTGGCTTGGTTTTTCAAGACAGGGTTTCTCTGTGTAGCCTTGGCTGCCCTGGACTCATTATGTAGAGTAGGCTGGCCTTGAACTCACAGAGATCTGCCTGCCTCTGCCTCCCAAGCACTAGGATTAAAGGTGTGCGCCACGGCACCCAGAAAGTGAATAAATGTTAAAAAGAAATAAACATAACAACTTCGTATTCAATCTTTTGAATAGTTCAACTTTAAAATCATCAAGATCAAATAAACAAGCTGTTGGTATGACTTTTTAAAAGGACTTTCTCAGGATTAGACAGGTGGCTCAGCAGTTGCCAGTCTTCAGCACCCAAGTTTGGGCAGTTCCCTGCAAGATTAGCAAGGTCATCCTTTGCCCAGCAAGTTCAAAGCTAGCCCATGTCACATTGTACCCTGACATTCTCTCTCTCTTAATTTTATATATATTAGTTAAATTTGTAAACTCACTTTAACAAATATATATGTATATATGTAGTTAAATATATATTAGTTAAGATTGTAAATTTAAAGGCATACTTTCCTAAATTTTTACATTTAACTTCATATGCTGGTGTTCTGTTTAGAATCCTTATATATTTCGTATACTAAAATATACAGTGTATTAAAAAGTGTGCATGGGGAAAAGGTGAACACATACCCTTTGGTTAGTGTTCGGTTAGCCCGTGAGCTGACAGCAATTTGCTTGAGCATCACCCGTACCATTTACAAACTTAGCTGATTAAGTTCTTGTAAATATTTAAACTATGTTTGCAAACTTAACATACTTGATTTTATTTTCCAAGCACAAATTCCTCACAGGACAGATTTACAAGTCAAATGAGAAAAAGTTTCAGGCACATAAAACATTCTCAGAGAACTTTATCATCCATTATTTAGTTTATTTACGTTCTTCGTAATTACTTGTGTTGGGTGCGCCTGTGGAGGGGACTTCCAGGAATCCTGTGGGTCCCAGGGCTGGATGGGCCAGGAGCCTTTACCTACTGAGGCCCCCGCCCCTTTTTAATTTTTAACTTATGTGTACGTGTGCGTGGTGGTCAGGTGTGTACACAGGGTGCAGTGTCCGTGGAGGCGGGAGTGGACCGCGGATCCGGCGGATCCATGGCGTTGGACCGGCAGGCCGCTCTAAGCTGCCCGGTGTGGGCGCTGGGAACTGGCCTCAGATCTCTGCAGGAGCAGCAACCGCTCACAGTGGCGGGTCTCTCCAGCTGTGACCTTTTGTTTTCTGCAACAGGCTCGCCCACCCGCCAGGGACGTGCGTTAGTATCGAGCTTTTTCCAGCCCTTCGCCTGGGATTCCCGACCTGTCAGGCGTGTACTGTGTAGGTGGATACGGCAGAAAAATGAATGATTTGGGGCAAGGGAAGGATTTTTGCAGTTAAACTGTTTGGACAGATAACTGATGACCTAATGACCTAAACTCCACGTAGCTCAGGCTGACCTCAAACTCGCTTTTGTAGCCTCACGAAATCCAGATGTATCTGGAGCAAAGAAGGTACAATTTCAGGAGACCCACAAATGTTGACGCGTAGGAGTGCACGCTCTCGATATAACCGCGGCACCTGCAGGGTCCATCTGTGCCCAGCAGCCTCTCAGCCTGCTCCTTCTGCTACCCTTAACTTCCCGCCCCCTGGTTTGGGCAACTCCGGAAAGTAACTGGGAGTCAGGTGTAGGGGGACCAGAGAAGTCAAAGCCCACAACCTGGCGCCCGCCTTCCTGGCAGAGGGAAATTCCGGCCTCCTTACCCTAGCTTTCCAAACCGAGGAGCAGCCAGGAAAACTTGGCTCCCTGGCTCCACCCTCCAAAGGGCACGCATGCGCCCGCGAAGCTCCGACGGCCATCTTGGACCCGGGCAGCGCCCTCCCCGTGAGGCTGTTGGGCTCACCCGAGGACCAAGGGAGTTACCGCGACATTCTGTCCACCTAAACCCTGGCGGGCCTGTGGTCCCGAGGACAGCGGCCCTCCCCTCCTGCCTCCAGGTAAAACCTCGAGCCAGTGGCCTTGCGGCGCGTTCTAGCTCAGTAGTCCTTGCTCCCCGTGTGACTCCAAAAAGGCACCTGCCTTTCGGGGAGGTGGGAGGCTAACGCACCCACCCATCACATACTGTCCCGGTATCCAAAAGTTCTCAGAACACACCCTGGTACAGGGCGCCGTAAGTGCTGGCTTTGGGCTCGGCGTGGCGGGCGCAGACACGCTTCCAGCCTCCAGCGCCTGGGGGCACGCTGAAGGAGGGCCCGGAGAGCCAAGCCAGGCCAGTGAAAGTGCAGCTTCACAGGCCCCTCGGACCGACACGTGATGCGACAGGCTGGGGCGGGTGTCAGGAACACAAACCCGGGTGCCCAGGACTGAAGGGGAAAAGGAATCTTTGTGAATTTCGGAACATTTCAACGCCCCCGGCTTGTTATTTTTAACCCCCCTAGCTGCCTCTCTGTAGGGGCTCCTATGCAACATCAAAACTCCCAGGATCAAAAAAGCTCTGTGTGTGTGTGTGTGTGGCTGTGGGGACGTTGGGAATGGGGAAGCTGGAACAATGTGTCCCCAGCAGAGCTGAGTGTGCAAAGGGGCCTTTTGGGCTGGTGTGGGCTGTGGCTCCCCACAGCGGTGCACCTGCCAATCAGCTCCCCAGGCAAGGGGTCCCTGCCTTTCCTGGTGGTGGAAAACTGCCTGGAAGGCAAAGAGGTAAGAGGGGCGTGAGATGGCTCAGCGGCTACAGGCCCAGCAACCTGAATCCGATGCCCAGGGCTCATGTGATGGAGAGAACTGGTTTCCACCTGATGTCATCTGCCTTGCACACACACACACACACACACACACACACACACACACACACACACACAGTGCACGTGTATCCCATCAGACATGGGTAGAAAGGAAGAAAATCAGTAAGGGGCTAAAGAGCTGGTGCGAATGTCACAAAGGACTGGCTGGGGTTGGCTCTGCTTTTCCAACCATCCGCAGCTTCAAACCCAGGATTCTGCAATCTCAGTGTAAGGACTTGTGAAGCATGGAGCTAGGATTAGATTACAGCAGTGCGTGCGGCCCCCGGAAGTCCGGCATAGGAGGGGAGGGGGTAGCAGAGTGTAAAAAACGCCAGGTGAGGTGTTGGGGGGGATTGCACAGTTTATTTCCAGACACAGTGGAGGGGGGATCCCCTCTGCCTTCCCTCCTTGCATTTGGCTTAGTCAGGAATTTTCTCTCCCCTTAACTCTCTATTGTACAAGATAGAGAAGACAGGCCCAGCCCACCCAAGGAGGGCCTCCGCAGACAAGGAGCATGGGTGTTGGGGTTCAAGTATTCGCAGGTTCCAGGGCTCACACTGCACCCGGTCCACACTGTCCCTGCTGGTGTAGTCCTTCTCTAGCCCGGACACCTCCAAACGAGTGCCCACCCCTTCCCCTGTCCTAATGCCTGAGTCTGAGGCTCTGCAGTCGGTTACGGGGCCTCCCCAGCAGGCAGGCTCACCTGAGGGCCCTGGGGAGAAGGTAAGAGCCTCCCCTCCCCACCGGGTTGGGAGGAGTGGTCCTTAGGTCAGGGGATGGCTGAGAACTGGGCGGATGTCAGGAAGGGATGCAGGTTTGGAGGGCAGTGATGGACACGTTCAGACAGCCGTGGCCTGAACTCTCACCACCATCACTCCGGGCTCAGAATCCCTGAGAGTCCAGCCACAAAGGCAAACCGGAACAGGGCAGGAGGTGGGAAGGGAGGCAGGGGGAAGTGGAGGGCGGACGGGGGTGAGCGTGGGGGTAGAAAATGGGGACTGAGCAGGTCATGTACACCTACAGCTAGCACCCTATTCCTGGGGGCTGGGGTAGGGAGGGCCGGGGCTGCGCTCAGGGCCCCTCTCAAGTTCTGGCCTTCCTCAGCGGGAGGAGTCCTGGGAAGGCAGGTTAGAAGGGCTGGTCCCCAGCACAGTGGAAGAAAAGGGCGGGGTGGGGTGGGGAGGGGTGTTGTATCCGAAGGGTAGTATAAAAAGCAAAACCATTAAAAAAACTTCCTGCGAAGTACTGCCAGTCTATGGCCCTTGCAGGGCATCAGTCAGCCCCCCTCAACAGGACGGGGTCCGGTAGCACCATGCAATGTTGGGGTACTCATGCTGCCTCGATGACCCCTGGGCAGTGCTTCTCCAAAGCAGGAACGAGAGACTGGGGTGGGGAGAGGTTGAGGCCGGAGCCCAGGCAGGCTTTCCGGCTGGGGCCTCGAAGGGCGCCCCGGGAGTCAGGATCTGAAGAATCGGTGTATCACGAACTGGCCCAACACAACCACGCCAAAAATGGTCATTACGATCAGGATGGGGTCTCTGCGCAGATTCAGGGCTGCCACCTGTCAGGAGACACGGCGGTTATAGGGTGGCTGGACAGCCGCAGCAGCAGGGGCCCGGCCCAGCCTCAGGCACTCACCCAGCCGCCTCTCTGCGCGATCCACCTGGCAATGTAGTGGCGAAGTATGATGTCAGCCAGAAAGCAGGTCACCTGGCCCAGGAAGCCAGTCAAACCACGTTGGTAGACATACAGGGCCAGGCGGTAGCCGAAGCCCAGGAGAGCCACCACACGGCCCCAGCTGATGCCACTCTTAAACAGGCTGTGGGCAGAGGATTCCAGGGATGACGAGGATGGGAGCCCGCCTTGGGAGCCTGTCCCTTTCCTTTCTCCTCTGCCCCCTCCCCCAAGCTGGGAAGCTAAACGGTTGAGCTGCCAGTCCAGGTCAGAAAGCCTGCCTTTGCCTGGCATCCAGTCAGGGAGGGCCTGGCTGACTGTGAGAGGAGAAAGCGGACAGAGCAGTAGGCTGGCCGAGGCTGGTACAGAGGGCCCAGAGAAGCAAGACTGAGCAGAGGAGACGGCAGGGGATTACCTGTGAGTGTTGCTGCAGGCCTAGCAGCCGGAGGGACAGCAGAGAGAAAAGCACAAGAGAGATTATGACAGGTCCCAAAGTCACAGGGGCCTGCACGGAGTGGGACCTGGCTGAGGACAGGACATGCCGGCTCCGAGTGCTCATTTTAAGCCTGTCACCTGCTTCGACCTCTCCTCCACCTGTGCTGACGCTTACTCTTGGCTCAGGGAAGGAACAGTGAGCACAGCTAGGCTTGGTGGCACATGCCTGGGATTCTGGCACTTGGATGCTGAGGCAAGATGATCAAAAGTTCAAGGCCAGCCTGAGCTACATGAGGCACTAGCTCAGAAACAGCAAGAGGCTGGAGAGGTGGTTAAGAGCACTGGCTGCTCTTCCAGAGGATCTGAGTTGATTCCCAGCCCCCACACGGCGGCTCACAACTGTGTAACTCCAGCCCCAGGAACCTTCTTCTTCTGGCCGCTTCAGGCATCAGGCACGCAAGCGGTTCGCACACATATTTGGGCAAAACAGCCGCACACATAAGCTAAAAATCAAACACCGACAAAACTCAAGCCAACTTGGCTGTGGCCAACTGTGGGAACACTGATTTAAGATGCTTTCCCTGCTTCCTAGGAGGTTTCACAGTGGTGGCCGGTGGCAAGCCGGGATGTGTCCTCAGTGTCAGGTGGCCTCTTAGATGCCATTGAATCCCAATTGACCTGACAGATGTTGGGGGCCCGACCGCCAGCTGGTGCTTGGATACATCTCCACCCCAGGGCACTCACTAGTCGGTGCCAGAACTCCAGGGATTCTCTGGAGCTCATGTGCAACAGAGGGTGAGTGGGGCCAGACAAGGAGACGGTGGGAACCGCCTGTGAGTGCACCCCGACACTGCACCCCAGCCAGGGAGCCCATGACCTGCAGGCAGGGACCAGCCGGTACCTGGAGGCGATCTTGGTGAAGAGTTCATAGGCGTTCCCGGCGGTGGGCTGAAGCTGTTCCAGTAAATTCTGGAACTCTGTGTCATAGCGCCGGTTAATGTCATCTCCGATGAGCGCAAGCTGCCGGCCCACCTGACCCAAGACACTGCGGGGGCGAGAGTCCGGGAGTGTGAAGTCCCGGGAAGCAGGCTCAGGGCAGAGGGGTGCTCCCGGACTGGGGGCGGGGCACGCCTTTACCCTACCCCTCTCTGAGGCTCCCTGACAATGTTTACAGTGTTGGTAAACAGGACAGAGGGCAGGAGTGTCCTGGAAAAGGGTGTAGGACTGCAGATGGGGGCCTCGAGAAGCCAGGCTGAGGGAGACAAGACCCCAGGGGATTCTGGACCGCCCTGGGCAGAGGCTCACCTATTGGGTTCTAGGGACAGGTTGTCCATCTCCGGGTTGGCAGGGGCAGCCGCTCCCTGGGTCTCTTGCTCCTGGTGGTGAAGGTAAAAAACGTAGCTTCGAAAGACCTCCTCTGTGTCCCGGGCTACCTGCTGTTCTGCGGATCAGAGGTGGGGGTCAAGAAGGACATTCCCCAGCCCCTCCCTTTCGGCGCTCATGACTCCCCCGGCCCCTCATGGACACACAGTGCTGCCCCCCGGAGTTGGGCCAGTGTGGTCATTCAGCCCTCATGAAAGGCAGTCCTGCCATGTGAGTGAGCTCCAGCCTACTCGTGGGGAAACAGGCACAGGTGGCCAAGCCGTGCAGCTTGGTCATGCGGCTGGGGACGAGTTGCTGGCCTTGCTTGTCAACTCATGGGTCAACTCTGGGCAGGCCTGAGGGTGCTTCCCAGAAGGACTGAGGAAGGACGGGCCTTCCCCATGGTGAGCACACACTGTCCAATGGCAGTGCCACTGCCTGCCCTCCCCCGCTGCCCGCCCTCCCCCACTGCCTGCCCTCCCCCACTGCCTGCCCTCCCCCCCGCCCACCCTCCCCCCCCTCCCCCCCTCCCCCACTGTCTATCTACCCCACTGCCCGCCCTCTCCACTGCCCACCCTCCCACACTGTCTGCCCTCCCTCATCCCACCCTCCCCACTACCTGCCCTCCCCACTGCCTGTGGGTAAGTAGGTCTACCAGGATGTTGCTGCTTTCACTGATACCAGGCCCTGGCCGCCCTGGCCGCCCCGGCCTTCTGCTGTGAACAGACGCAAGGCTGTCCAGGAATCTTCCCGGGCTTCAGCACCAGCTGGGACCGCCGAGGTAACGCCTTGTGGATCATGGCTGTCACTGCGCTGCTGCTCAGCCCATCTCGCACCCCAGGCTAATAAGGGCCCCTGTGATCTACGCTCACTGTGTGCACTGTGCTGTTGTAAGGAGCAGCGCTGTGGAAGGACAGCCCAGCACTGGGCTCCTGCACTCCCGGGTGGACACGGCCCCAAGTTAGGCTGCAGGCAGCAGGAGAAACCAAGCTGAAATTGGACATCTTGGACCCAGAAAAATCAGTCAGAGGACAATGGTTTCTGTCTTTTCATTTTTAGAGACAAGACCTTGATGTGTAGCCTGGGCAAGCCTGGAGCTCAACATGCTGACCAGGCCGCCTCAGGTTCACACAGATCCTGTCTTTGCCTCCCTGTTGCAAACAAGTCGTGCACCGCTATGCTCTGCTTGGATTGGTGTTTTGTTCTGAGGCAGGGTCTCAGTCTGCCTCTCTCTAGCACAGGCTAGGCTGACACTCATTCTGTAGGACAGATGGACCTGGGATTGCAGACAGGAGCTACCACACCCAGCTCACACAGAGCTGGGATATGAACCCCAGGTCCAGGGACCAACCTGACCTCCCCGCCCATCCACTTGAGGGAAGCAGAGAGGGCAGCTATCTCACTTCCTGCCCCCACCCCACCCGAGGTTAAAGAGAATGGCATTCCCTGTTCACAGACCTGACTGTGATAAGCCAGGTAGGTCACTTCCTTCTTTCTCCCTCTGCAGGGACATGGCAGCCGGGCCTGGTTCTTCTGCCTCCCTCCCTCCCCTCCACCCTGAGAAGGGTTGTGCCACCTGCACACCAGCCCCGGGTGCTTCTCTCCTGTGCTAGGGGATGGCGAGGGGCAGGAGGACCCTTACCAGAAGGGGAGGGAGGTTCTTCACAGCCCTCCCTTGGAGGGCCTGGTCCTTGTCCAGATGCCATCTGTCAGGTCTGGGTGGACAGGTCTCACCTGCAGAGACCGGTGAGAAAAAGCGGAGATGAGGCTGGGCATGGCGGCATATGACTTTAATCCCAGCACTCGGGAGGCAGAGGCAGGAGGATCTCTGAGTTGGAAAATAGCCTAGTCTACAGAGAGAATTCCAGGACAGCCAGGGCTACACAGTGAGACCCTATCTCAGAGAGAGAGAGCACAGAGCAGGGGCATTTGGCTGAAGACCCCAGAGAGGTTGGCCTGGTCACCCAAAGTGAGGGCACCCCACCTCTTCCACTGCCAGGAAGACCTTGCAATTCTCTGGGACTAAAGTCCTGCCACCTTGGGGCCCTGGCGGTACCCCGGGGAGCGATGGGAACTCAGGACCTGGCTGCAACCCTGCAGGGGAGACTAACCGTTGAGGAAGCCAGGCAGAGAACAAGTGGGGTCAAGGCCTTGGAGGCTGTGGCACAGCCTTGCCATGAAGGCTCTCAAGTCCCTTTTCAGTCACTCCTGGAGAGAGTGAACTGCTTGGAGAGACTGGGGGTCCTTTCGGAGGCTCCCTGACCCTTCCTCAGCCCACCACCCCAGCCACGAAGACCTTCCTCCATGGTCTACTTCCCCATGGCTGCTGGGACATATGTGTTTTCCAGTAGGGCCTTCTGGCAGCAAACTCTCAAAGAGTCTACCCCACACTCATGTGATGTGCTCAAAGTCCCCATGACTGGCTGCTTGTGGTGGGGCAAGCTTTGATGCTAGTGAGTTCTAGGCCAGTTTGGTCTACACGTAGAATCCCAGGCTCGCCAAGGTCTATGTGGTGAGATCCAGTCCCAATTAAATAAAGGGGGGGGGGGAGAGTTCCCACAACACAAGTGTGGCCAATACCCTTGCACCTGTTTTACAGGTTGTAAAAGTGAGGGCAGAAGGAAATGAATATCTGGGCCACACGGTCAGGTACAAAAATTCTGAGTTTTTGTTTTGTCTTGTTTTTTAAAAATGATTTATTTGTTTTATGTACATTGGCATTCTGCCTGTTTGTGGGTGTGTGAGGGTGTTGGGTCCCCTGGAACTGAAATTACAGATGGGTATGAGCTGCCCACAGGGTGCTGGGGATTGAACCTTGGTTCTTTGGAAGAACAGCCAGTGCTCTTAACTGCTGCACCATCCTTCCAGCCCCTTTAACATACACGTATATACGCTCGCGTGCACGCACGCGCATGATGAAGGGTGTGTGGAGTCAGAGGACAGGTTTCGGGAGTGGATTCTCTCCTTCTACCATGTGGGTTCCATAGAACCCCGGGCTCCACGCCCTGCACTGCAGGACCTCTCACGGCCTCCCTACCCTGCCCACCCTGCCCCACACCGAGACCTCACTGCTCTCTGCTCTTTGGTGCTAAGTGGTTTCTTTGGGTTATACGTTTGTTTGTTTGTTTGTTTGTTTGTTTGTTTGTCAGGTTCTCCCTAGGCAGCCCCAAGAAGGACCCTGCACCCTTTGACCCTCCGGCCTCAGACATCGGTGCTCGGGTATTATGGGTGTTTTCTGCCACACCACGCCCAAGCCCGTTCTTGTTCTGACCCATCTTGGCCTCCGCTGCTGGTGTCGACAGTTATTTCCTGAGGCAAGACCTTTCACTTTCAGTTTGCACCCCTTTCAAGAGTCTCCCTCCTCTCTAAGCTGCCTCTATCACTTCAGGAAGTGACCCTCCTGTCAGGGAAGAGGGTGCAGACCTAGCTAGGGCCAAGCACAGTAGCCCCGTCTGTACCTGCGTGGGGCTGAGTGCCCACACTCACCTCCGTTCATCTCAGGCTGGGGCTGTATTTAAAGGTTACTCAGGAGCTCTCTGAGTGGGGGTCGGGGAGGGCTAGCTCCCCTTCACCGTCTGCTTTGGTGCCAGAGTAGGGGCGGGCAGACCCTCTTCTCATCCCTGAGAGCCAGGCCTCACGAAGGCAGCCACCCACTTGGCATATTCTACCTGGCAGCTCCTTCCGGAAGGAAGGCCAGCAGGGCCAGGGGTGCTGACCCCACTCAGACCTCCCCAGAAACCCACCCTGGAAGCTCACTGTTGGAGAAGCAGGTGGCGTCTCCGGACAGCCCTGGGCCTCCTCCCCCAAGCCCATCCGAGTGGCCTTGACTTCGAATTACATCCCAGGATGCACGTCCCCACAGGCAACTACAGGCTTTACCTAGGATCGGTGTGGGAGGGGAGGGTGGGCCTGGGACAGCAGGGGGTCAACCGTGAAACTTATACCTCTGTGGTGACCTTGACCTGCCCCAACTTCCAGACAGCTAAAGTCCCAGTTGTCTGGCACCCCGGGCCACCAGAGCCTAGGCAAGAAGTGCGCTTTCTGGTGTCGAGCTGGAGGTAGCTCTGTTTGCACTAGGCCCTCCTGGCTTTAGGGAGCACTCAGGGAAGCCACTACAAGGTTCCCCTCCTCACCCGGTTCTGGATGGAGCCTTCTGCCCCACCCTGGGCAGGAGCTGCCAGGATTAGGAAGATGGGGTTTGGCCTCCGGGGTACTTGCCGGACTCTGCTCCAGATGTGGGTTGGCTCAGCGGTCTAGAGCCAGAATCCCGAGGGGCTGCTGGCTTCCTCCAGGGGCAAGGTTTCAGGCCTGACTTGCAGGAACCGGCGTCTGAGTTCACGGTGTCGAGATGCCGCCGCCACGGGTCGTCTCGGCCCAGGAAACCTCGCGACTTTGTGACCATAGAGCAGCCGGCAGCTCCCGGCAGTGATCAGCTCCCTCTAGAGGAAGCTGCTGGCCGGCCGCCGGATGCAGACACACAGGGAGGCTGCTGCTCGGAGGAAGGTCCTGTGGGCCAGGCCTGGGAGCAGCTGCCGTGCACCCTCCCCCTGCACGCCCTGTCCCAGACAAGGGGAGAAGCTTTCTGTTCACGGCCTTTCCTGCCTCTGAGTCCGGGTCCTCACCTTCCATCTTCTCCCTCTAGGGAAAAGCAAAACACAGAAAAACAACAAAAACCAGGAGGGAGCTGGGGGTGGCGGTGCGGACCTGCAGTCCCAGCTCTCAGGAGGCTGAGGCAGGGTAGTGAAAACAGGCCACCCTGTCTACGTGACACCAGAAAGGAGGGATGGGAGTCGGGGATGGGAGGAGGAGGAGGATTGGGGGAAGAGGAGGGAGAGGAGAAGTGGGGTGAGGAGAAGAAGGCAGAAGAGGAGGAAGAAGAGGAGGAGGAGGAATTTGTACAGTCACCCAGTCCTCTGCAAACTGCCAGGCCTCAGGGACTGATCTCAAGCACAGAATCAACTCCAGAGAGACATTGTGCTTAGTCCTGTTCTCAGGGTCTGTACCCTGCCAGCCTTCCTGTCCTTCCCCAGCCAGGGAGAGGTGCCCCTTTCATGGCCTGAGGGTGCCCCTTTTCTGGGTCTCAGCTTCCCTTGATCTCCAGCTTGGCCCTGATGCCCGCTGAGCTGGACCCTGGCTGGCTCCCTGTACCCACCCTCCTCCCTGCAGCACCGTCCACTGCCTCCAGTTATTCTCCCCACCCCACCCCACCCCCACCCTTTCTTTGCCTTCTAGAACTCCTGAAGTCTCCAACTGGAGGTTTCTATTAGCAGTTGGTCCTGGGCTGGCTGCCATGACTTCTCCCTGAGTCAGGGTCCCTCTCAGGATGGCGGCCCAGGCTCGGACCCCTCGGTCACGGCCAAGAATCTTGGGCTGCTCCTCCGTGTTGCGCTTTCTCCGAAGCCTGGTGGGGAGTAAGGGCAGTTCTAAGGGTCCTAACACGCCCCTGACCAGGAGCCGGCCCAACCCCCCACCAGAGCAGGATGCTGCCTCCCCAAGGGTAGACCACCGGGAAGATCATGGAAGAGGAGAGCCGCAGCTGCACACCGCAGCACCCAGGATCCTCTCCGCGGCTCCCCCAAACCCACCTCTGCAGGATGCTTTTGGCCTGGGCACCGGGGACACGGGCTCCCAGACCTCCACCTGCAAGCGTGCCCCAAAGCTCAGGTTCCACGGAACAGAGGTAACATCAGTCCCCAGCAGAGGAGCAGAGGAGGTTCTGGGGCACCAGTCTGAGAAGAAGAAAAGACACGGGGAAGAGCCAGCAGGGGTGGCCTCTGGGGCCTCAGACAGGTGAGAGGCCGGGGCTGGTGGCAGGGATGGGGAGGAAGGAGGAGCACAGTCCAGAGAGAGGAGAGACGGGGCGCAGACAGGAGGCCCACGAGTGGAAGTCCATGGATGGAGAAAGGGCTGGGGTGAGGGTCCTGAGTGGTGAAGGTCATGATTGAGGGTTATAGTGCCAAGGGAAGGAGGGGGTGGACTGTGGGATGAGCACCAAAGAGGGCGCTGGGGTGGAGCCCTGCCTAGCATGATCCAGGCCCTGGCTTTAGTCCCCAGCACAGTGAAACAATCACAGCCAGGCATGGCGGCCGGCGGTTAATCCCAGCACCTGGGAGGCAAAGGAAGGAAGGTCTCTCAGTTTGAGGCCAGCCTGGTCTTCAGAGCTAGTTCTGGACAGTCGGGGCTGGAAAACCGAAGACAACAAAACAAAATAATAATGGAGATGACAAAGGGTCTGGACAGGGGTGTGCTGGAGGGGCTCTGTGCCCTCGGCTCCTTTGTGGCCAGACCTCCCGAGCTCCCACCCTGGCTTTCTCTCCCTCTGCTCTTAACAGCCGGTCCCTGCGTGGAAGGGGCCCAGCTCCCTGCCCCCTACTTTCTGGCTTTCTCAGGGGTGGTAGGAAAACCCCCCACGTTAGCGACCCCTGGGAACAGAGCAGGGGCCTGGGAGAGAGGAAGGGAGATGAAGCAGGTCTGTGGAGAAGCTTGGCTCTGTGGGCGTCTGACCCCGTCACCTGCCCGCTTTGGGGCTAGGGAACACTGTGCCCCGGCCCTGGAGGCTGAACAAGAATGCCTGCAGTGGGTTCCCGGACCGCTGGCACTTACCCCTGGGGCCTTCGCCAAAGAGGAAGAAGACGGGCACTACCTAATG